GAGAGATTTCTGTCTTCGTCACAACGCACAAATCTTCCTCGTTGTTCTTACAGAATCCTATGTGAACTGCTGCAGCACACTATCCTGATTATTTTTTTGTTAGGATTCGTTGAGTATATTTTTCCTTTCTATGTATCTTTTATTGGGCAATCTCATTTTATTGTTATTGTTCATCGTGATTTCGGGTAGAGATGTACATGTATCCATTAGCGTTTGATTGACAAAAAATTATTCCCTTATCTAGTTATATGACGAAAATATTCTTGAATGGGAAGAGGTGTGAGACTATTATTTTGGTAATTCTATTGTGAATCCTAATGAATTGAGAAGATGAAATTTTTGAAAGAAAAGTTGGATAATTTGGAAAGTCTGTAACTTGAAAGATCATGGACTTGATCAACAATTCATTTTTGAGACATATCTATAGGCATACAATTGCAAAGTATGAGAACGGTCAAAAGATTTAAGAATCATTTTACACGCCTACATACATAGTCCTAATTAACTCTAATTATGATTCCTGCTTAGTGGACCTGAAAAATTGGATAGCTTTCTTTGATTGCCTATCTCTAATAATTTATATAAAAGGTATTTCTTTGCTAGTGCTCGATAGTAGATGACTTGGAAAGCCACTTAGGCATGTTGATGGCACTTCAGAATTTAATGCTTCATTTGCAAATGGTGTTTATGCTCACTTCAAACATTTGTTGCGAATCTTCAGTAGAATTTTATGTTTCTTTCCATAAGCTAAGAAGGTTTTGATTATTAGCTAATATAGTTGTAAATAATATAGTATCTAGAAATATATATTTGAATGCTCAAATAGATAGACCAGATAATGTATGTTCTTTCAATTAATAGAGATCATATATCCTTTAAGATACATAAGAGCAATGATCTCATGAATAGGGGTAATGGGAATCAACTAGTTCAATGTTCAATGGACTTCTAGAATTAGAAGAGATGTAAATGTATGTGATGTGAATTCGTTCAAAAATTGCAACATGAAATTTCATTTAAGAATCACAAAGTTTACCAATGTAAGATTAAACTTTCGTTGGTTTAGATTTATATGAAATTTCCGTTAACGAAATGTTATAATAAGCGGTTACAATAGTGTTTTGACACAATTAATGAAGGGTCTCCAAAAGGTTACATAATAAAGCAAAATACGGAAATAATAAGAATCCACCAACCCACGGCTAATGTCTAGAAAGTTCACACGAGTAACCTTGCTCACTTCCCACAGCTCAAGTTGGGCCTTAAGCGGGAAGAAGGCCCTTTAGCAAACTTAAGCGATGCCACGAAGAACGGTGGCTTACAACCAATGCCTTTAGCCACGAGAGGTTGATGGTGATTGAGGAATGGCGTGAATGCTTGACTGTCGATACTTTCCAATCATAGATTGAAAATCGTCGTATGATGATGCCTCACAAGAAT